GTAGGGGGAAAAATGAGAGTGCATATAATCTAAGAGATGATGATACAGAAGGAAAATAAAACTTCCTGGAGCTAGTTTTACTATTGGCAAAATATGACGATATATTGAAACATCATGTGGATATGGCAGCTAAGGGCGCATTGTCAAGAAAAGAAAAGCATAAAGACTGCCGTGGCCGAGGTAATTTAATTACATGTTTAAGCAAAACAACGGTAAACAAAATAACTATAATCGGAAATTAAATTAAATTAAATTAAGAGTAGCAAACGAAGTAAAAGATGCTGGAAATTATAGTGTTCAAGTTGATTCAACCCAGGATATTAGCATGGTTAAACAATGTTCAATTATAGTTCGCTATATAGATAGTGAGGGTAAAGTAAAAGAAAGGTTGTTAGATATTGTTCCAGTGGAGACTCTTAAGACCAAATTAATTAATGTTTTAAATATCTTAGATCTCGACGAGATACTTAATTTAGTTGTTTGTGATAGCACTCAATGTAATCAAAAAATTAAATATTACTTTGGGTTGTTAAATCGAGTAGCATATAAGAGTCCATTTATGGGAGACGTTAAAATCTACTCACACCCATGGAGAAACTAGATGGTGGGCAAAGAGTAAGGATGTTTCTATTTTATTTGGCACTTTTGAGGACTATTGTAAAGAAATGTATTCTACGTTGATACTTGTTTTATTAGAAATGGCTGAAAGTACAGATTTTGACTCAAAAACATGCTCCGAGGCGCAATCATTAGTTGAAAATATCTGCAAATATGAAACTCTTTTAATATCATCTATCATGATAAAAATTTTTGAATAAGTGACTCCCGCCTCAAATTATCTTCAGACAGAAGGTATTGATTTTATCCAAGCATACCATTTGGTAACAAATGCGAAAGCAATGCTAAATGAAATGTATGACAAATTTGATTTAATTGTTAAAAGACGAGTGCATTTTTAAATTATATAAATCAAATTGAGCCATTAGAAACAAATATATTGTAATTGAACATGAGCTGCCACAACAAAGGTTAAGAAATAGGAAACGTATGGTAGACGAAACAACTGAATATTCCATTATTACCGATCCAATAAAAAATTTGAAGTTGAAGTATTTAAATCAGTAATTAATCAGGCAATTCAAAGTATAAGCCAGAGATTTGAAGCCAACAAATTTATGAACATTTTTCAGGCCTTGTCCCCAGAAATTTTAAAAGCTTGAATTTATTAAGCGACTCCAAATTTACTGATATTGCAGAAAAGATTGGAATCGATGTGGAATTAAAAAATTAATTATTGAGTTTCACACAAATATATAGGCTAGTTTTTTTATTTTTGTTGTTCTTTAAGAATGGTAGTTTTATTTTGTTTTGTGATTTTGTACATGCACCTGTTTATTTTAATTATTTGTCCATTGACAACGTTATATTTTGTGATAGAAATTTTTAGTCAGATTTAGTCAAATACTTATTTGCATGCTTATTTTTGACTATGTAATAATAATTTTCCTATTTGTTGTTGTTTATGGAAGTCAGTTTTTTTTAATGTTAATTTGTGATTTTTTACTTTTATTTATTTTGGTTTTAATATCTTAAAATTTTTCGTTTGGTTATTTAACAAATTTAAAATGTTTTATATAAAAATTACCCTTTATTTTTTTATTTATTGCCTACACAGTATTTATATTATGTTTTAAACGCATAATTTTACAGTATTTTTATATTATTTGAAACGGTCGCAAAGTACTTGAAATTTTCATGATTTTGGATTATCTACTATTTTAACACTACTTTTTAATATATAAATTCTAAATATTTTTATTTTAAATGTGATTAATCATCTTTATGGAAATAATCAAGTTGGTCAAAGAGAGTAGGCTGGGGGGCCAATTACTCGTGGTGCCGATGGGGCCAAATTTAGCCAGTCCGACCCTGTCAAAGTTCACATACCACCACCAACATTTCTTTTAGATAGCCTTCTACAAAAAAGTGGACACGACGTTCTGCGTTTGCCTCCATACCATATCAAATTAAATCCCATAGAGAAAATATGGGCCCAATTAAAAAACTGGGTGGGCCAACACAACATTTAAATTAAATGATGTTGACACATTAGCAAGAGAGAAATTTCAGAATATAACCATCGAGGAATGGGCAAAAGTGGTAGATCATTGCTCGAAATATGAGGATGCGTATATTCATAAAGAACACTTAATGGATGGATATACAGATTCCATGATATTTAAAGTAAATGAATCAGTCATTTGAGAAAGCCCATAAGTCACAAATTTATTATAGTCCAAAAATGGCCGATTCTTATTGCTAACGAGAAATCCCATGAGTCGTAGCAAATAGTAAAACAATCTCGCAGTTTTAGAAAAAAAAAATCAGTGCTTTGTCTCACACACAGACGATTTAAGAAAGTTTTTTTTTTAATTTCCCAAACTTTTACTTTTCTGGTGTTTCTCAAATGACCGATTCAAATACGGAATCATCTGACGAGTGGGATTCATAATTGTCTGATATTGAAAATTGAAATAGATAATCACAAATATATTTATTATTAGGTAAAATTTTCAGTTGTTTTATTAATTTACACTTTATTAAAAATTTGACAAACAATAGTCGAAATTCTGACTAATACTTTTCATTTACGAGTATTTTAGATTTAAAATATTTTATAAATGTACACATGCCATTGCTAAAGAAAGCACTAGTTATCAGGTACCCCCCTACCGTAAGCGATTTTAGATCAACGTCGTCAAATAAGCTCCTTCTGGCTGCGCGCGAAATTAGACATTTTGTTATGCAATATACTCTTCGGATAGTAATCGAGCTCTACAGACAATGTATGTCTGCTAATGTTTAGCGATTTGTTTTATTTTAGTTATTATAAATACTAAAAATACATTTTTTTCCATCTTGCTTCAACTTTAAGTAGACATACTATTGCTGCGTTTGAATATCCACATCCGATAAATTTGTTATGTATCGAGCGTTTGTTTATCCACATCGGACACATCTGTCCTACTACACTTACGTATATCACGTGATCAAAGATTCTCAACATTTCAGATACATCCTATGTGGATATTCAAACGCAGCATATATGTATACAGGGTGTTATTGAAATACACGTACATATTAAAATGGGGAATAGTATGTAATGACCAAAAACGATTGGCACCAATTTTAACTTCAAATTCTAAAATTTAAATATTGGGGAAGAGTCCCCTTTTCCGACCTACTAGTTTCCATATTTAAAGAAGTAAAATAAATCGAAATTGAACTTACCCATAGAAATTGCACTGTTGCCGTAGCAAAACCAATTAATTCAAAATAAAGTTTATTACAGTAATTGTTCAAAATGCCGTCCATTATTATTTACACACACTTGCAATCGTCTTTCTAAAGAACTTTGAACATTAGAAATTAGTCTTGGATTTTGTCGTAGTTCCTCGGCTACCGCATTAACTTTATTGGTTAATTGTTCAACACTATTAATAGGTTCATTATAAACCAGTTGTTTCATGTGACCCCACAAAAAGAAATCGCATGGATTTAAGTCCGGAGATCTCGGAGGCCACTTAGTAGGTCCATTTCTGCCTATCCACTTTTGAGGAAATCTAATGTTCAAAAACTGCCGTACGTTTAAATCAAAGTGAGGAGGAGCGCCATCTAGTAGGTACCACATCCGTTGCCTTAATTGTAACTGGTATCTCTTCTAGGAGTACTGCCAAAATATCTTCTAAAAAGTGGAGATATCCTGGCCCATTTAATCTGTTCGGGAGAACATAAGGCCCGATTAAATACTGATCTATTATGCCAGCCCAAACATTTATTGAACATTTTCTTTGATGCCCAGTTTCCCTAATGGCGTGAGGATTTTCATCACTCCAAATATGCGTATTGTGCATATTGAACACGCCATCACGAGTGAATGAAGCCTCGTCAGTATACAATAATATTTTTAGAAAATCAGGAATATCAACACATTTTTGAATCATCCATTCACAAAACTCCACTCTCTTTTCTTCATCACCTGGATATAAGACCTGGACTTTTTGGATGTGATAAGGATGTAAACCTTGTTCTTTAAGTGTCCGCCACACAACAAATGAGGACACTCCAATTTCAAGACCTAGTCTTCTACAACTTAATTGAGGCCGGTTTTCAACAGCTTCCAATATTTCTTCTTCGGCCGCCAATGTTCTTTGTGTTCTTGTTCTCCCTCGATCTGCATTGACACTCTCAAATTTTCCATGGTCTCTTAGATGCTGAACAGTTGAAATAAACGTACGACAGTCCGGAATTCTCCGATTTGGAAACCGTTCGCGATACAGGATTTGTGCTTGCCGAGAATTTTCTCCAGCTGCCCCATAAACCAGCACTATATCCGTTAGTTCAATATTCGTAAATAGTGGCATCGTAAAAAAATATTTAAAAGTAATCGTAACAACACTTTTTACCAACTTGGAAATGACGCGCTCGTGTTAGCCAGATTCGTAAATCAACTAAAATTTTAATAATCTATAGTTTCAAAAATGTATAGTTTAAAAACAATCATTTATCAAATATTCTAGTTTTTTGATAACGAGGGTAGTAAAAACCAGTCTTCGGAAATAGAAATTAATTCGATAATCTTGGCAACATGGTTATTTCTTACAAGACTAGTTTTCTTATCATCTGACAAAAACTTGCATATTAATTACTGTTGATGTTTAAAATAGGTAAATAAACCTAATTTATATAGGTCATCCTCAACATATCAGTGAAGTACGTTTGTTTTAGAATTAATTTTCAAAAATTAATAACTCCCTTAATAAGGGGTATTTTTAAAAATTAATATTTTTCTACATTCAGTGGGGATCTGCGCAATACCCAGTTTTAATATGTACGTGTATTTCAATAACACCCTGTATAATAATAAGTATTGTTGAAACAAAATTGGCGTTTTTTAGAGCAAAATATATAAAAAATAACGTTTCAAGTTAGATACTTACACAGGGACACCCGTCGGACATGATTGCTTCTTTAATTTCAACTGATTCAATATGTCCTTGATTTAGTATATTATCCAATCTAACAGTCAGCTCCTCGCTTAACTGATCGATATCGAGATCCTCTTGGATGAAAGTCGCTTCCTCTTCCTCCTCTTCTTCTTCGGCCTCTTCTTCCTCTTCTTCTAATTCTTCAGCTTCGGCTCTAGTCTCTTTTTCGTCCTCTGTAGTAGTGCCGGTAATGCTCGCTTCTTCTAGGCTCTCTTCAAGTTTCTCTAAGAATTATCAAAAAAAAGTAATAATAATAATACTAATAATAATAATAATTTCGTATTTAAACAAATTTTTTGACTTAAATACTGATTATTTTATTCTTACCTAGAACTTGTGAGGGTTGACTTCTGACCGTCAGATAATTCCGACCTAGTAGATATTCAGTTTCTTCCCCGCTTTCTGATTCGGTATCCCTGATCTGAGGTGCAAAGATTTCTTTCAGACGTGGTTCCTCCTCCTCGAATCTCTGTCTTTTAATTTCAGATTTAGGGGGAACGTCTAGAATACGTTTTGGTGAAAATAGGGTTCTTCGTGACCTGGGTCTTCTATAGAAACTCTATAAGCAGTTTTCATAATTAATTTTTCCAAAAATGAAAAAGTAGGTAGATACATGAGTAAAAAATCATTTTTAAATTGAATTACTGTTATGTACATAAAAGCCAAAGAAAGTTACTGACCTGACTTAAACTCTCTAAAGACCTTGATGTCCTCAACAAAGTACCGATATTCAAATCCCTAATCAAATCAAACGGCTGGTTCCTCAAAGTCGATCTAAAGAAAGTATCAGCTTCACCGACTTGACTATAAGAAGGTCTCCCGAACAAATTGTTGTATTTCTGCAAAAAATTTATATTTTTCTGTACCAAAGGGTTGGTGGCGATCCTTTTCTTAGCGCGACTCTCCCATGAACTGTCCACGCTAAAACTCTCCCTTTTCGGAAGGTTCTTTTCGGAAACTGATAATTTCTGTCGGCTCTGAAAGAAATTAATTTTAAACTAAAAGCGTCAAATCAAAACGTCAAAATAATATACCTTCATTTCCCCTTTGAAAATCTGTTTCTAGGGAAGTTTTTTTAAATGGATCGTCGTTGTTTCCTATGAATCTTCTTCGCTCAAGATTATCGTCGCAATGTAGAGTATGAACAGTATGAGTACAAAATTGTACATGAATTGCAAAATGTTCGAAGATGAAAAGATGAAGTTTCGATTACAGGACGATATTGATTTTTTTAGGGTTGCTATGTCAAAGTAATCACTTTCTAGATTCTATCTATATTCTGCCTAAAGTGAAAAGGACATGAGAATAAACCGGCACACATTTTTAAAAAAATAACACAATGAATACCAATATGGCCAGGAGCCAGAGAAAGGTTGGCCAAGAAAAGAGGTATGTATCTCTCTGTATCTGTAAGGAGGTGGAGGGTGGGTTGCCCCACAGCACTTAGGTCTCACTACGCCAATTCTGCATCCTCCTGGGGCAAATTGGGCCTGCCTCTCAACTAGTCAAAAGCTTGCTGATTGACAAGCCGCGGACAAATGTTTAGCCAGTTTGTCAGAGGCCTGCAAGCTAATAACGTCGTTTAGTCGTCGCTACATGCCCCATTTCTGGAAATGGCCATTTGGTGGACATCTACCACGATGGTAAATGCCCGGAAGGAGCTATTCTATATAGGATCTACCTCTTGGCGCGTTAGAAGACTGCTGGTTGACAAATCACCGAGAGGTGTCTAGGGATAGCCATACATCACCTAATTAAAGTCTTACAGACTAATAATGTCGCCCAAGCTAGAAATAGCTATTTGGTGGGATCATATGTCGCCAAGGCGTCACTAGATGCCCAATTTCTGAAAGTTGCCATTTGATGGGCTTTTGGGCCTCTACCATGAAAAATATCAGATAGAACAATTGTGGCCGCCCATGTCAAAAATGGCATATCTCTTATAAATATTTTATGACATTTGAATGAAAGAAAAAATATTTCTTTTTAAAATTAAAATAAATATATATATATATATATATATATATATATATATATATATATATATAATTTCATTATAAAATAACTTATTACAAGAAGTCAAGAGATGACACAAAATGTTAATTTCATAACGGTTTGTCTTTTGATAAAAGATTTTGGTAAGGTGTTGTATGTCGGTTTTTTTGTTCATGTTTTTAGGGTTTTGAGCTATAAATGTAATTTCTAGAAACTTTCTTTTTGCAAGGTTAGATTCAGTAATTAAAACTGTCGCTGATTCCCAAGACATGTTATGTCCTTCATTTGAGATATGTGTAGCAAGTGCACATCTTTCCGGGTGTAGTCTGCAGTCACTCTTGTGTGATGTAATTCGATCTTTTAATCGTCTGCCCGTTTCTCCGAAATATTGTAAATCACAATTTGTACAAGAGATTCTGTAAACTGCATCCGATAGGAAAAGCTGAGGGGTTTTGTCTTTTTGTTTTTTGTATAAAGAGCCTAAAGTTAAAACATTTTTATTTGCAATTTTGATGTTATCTTTAGTATTCAAAATGTTCATCAGTTTAGAAGTAAGACCTTTTATGTACGGTAACGAAATATATCTTACACAATTATTGGCAACAGGCTGAGTATTATTTGATGTTCTGGTAATTGGTTCATTTTGTAATATCGTTGTTATATTATTAGCAATTACTAATTTATTATTGATGTTATCATTATTACCTTAGATTGCAACATCAGTGACAATACTACTAGAATTAAATAGGATTTATTGACTTAAATAAAAGATTATTTTCGATTAGGCGATTATTTTAGAATAATCGAATATTTTTGATATTTTAAAGATAATCGAATAATTTTAAAGGAAATACGAAAAAAATAGATTATTTGATAATAATAATAATAATAAAATATTTATTTAAAATAATCGATAATTTAGTTATTTTATTTTTTTTGTAAAATCGATTTATCGGTTAATCGGCTATTTAATTAATCGATTATTTTCGATTTTTCAGATTATCGAATAATCTATTTCAATGGAAATTCAAAAAAAAATAGATTAATTAAAATATTCGATAATTCGTTTATTTTTTGAAAACACCGTTGATAAATTTTTTATTTAATCGATTATTTGCGATTTTTCAAAGATAATCGAATAATCGATTTTAAAGGAAATACGATCAAAAATAGATGGTTTGAAAATAATCGATTGGTCGAAAATAATCGAATATTTTCAATGATTGATAATTATTTATTTCGATAATCGCCCATCCCTAGCGACCGAATGACTCTTCTTAGGTTTATATTTTAAAATATTATCCGGTTTCAGAAATATGCATTTAATTAATTTAATTTAAATAATATTCCTAAAGAAAGAAGCTTTAATGTACCTTTTTCTGAGGTTACTATAATATAAAACATCATTTTCTTATTTTGACTATTTTTTAATATTATGTAATAGCCGTAGAAAATATATAATGTTCAACTCACAAGGTTTTGATTTGCAATTATCGCCTGCGCACATGCTGCTATTATAATACTCGTAGACAATGGGTACTATTCCTTGCTCAATTGACAATATTTTATTTCAACATTTTATTGTGGTCCGTAGTAAATAAACGCTAATGAAATATTCTATGAACATGTCGTTGCATCTCTTTGATATTAAAAAATCATGTTAATTTTATTTCCTAATACAACATTCTATTAAACACCTTTTTAGTATTTCTAATAGTTCATTATGAAGGTAATAAACAAAGGCCGTCCCTGTCACAGAGTTTGGGTCTCCTCCCAGTTCCCCCACTCCATCATCTTTTCTTTAAAAATTGGCAATTCGCGCAGGTTAAACACCGATGTATGTTACATCATATGCACTAAGGTTACATTTATCTGGTCTCTTTAAGGTCTATCCACATTAGCCGGACAAGGCACGGTCAAGTCACGGTCCGGTCACGATCAAATCTTTTTGAAAGCATTCATACTATCGGGTCCATGTCATCGTCATATTAGGCATTCCAACGACCTGTCCAAATGGCTACCAGTGGGATCTGACAGTTTAGATATGGCAACCCTGTGGGCATATTATCATTAACAGGGTTAATGATACCTATATAGTTATATAGATTGCTCAAAGCGGGTCGGTTGCGAGCGGCCATATTGCCTGGCTAATTTAAATCGGTTTAGCAAAAATGTGTTTTAAAGCCAATTGTCAGCCTTTGCATATTTAAAAAAAAAATAATTGCCTACATTTTTACTTCAAGGCATAAGCTTATATTCATTTTCTAAAGCATGGATGACCAATCTATATAACATTATAGACCCTATTAAACCACCAGGCTCACAGTGTTGACATATAACCTATCATGTGCCTGTCAGTGGCCTGTCTTTTCAAACGAGTAGCCATTTTGTTTGAAATGCCTAATTCGACCAGTTTTTCCAACGTACAGCAGGCACTCGTGCATGAGTGTTTTTCTCAGAGTATTTTTGCTTGTAGCATCGCGATCTGTGATCTTAAAAAATGTTTTCAACTTTATTAATTAAAATTCCTTTTGTTTTGGATGCTAAAGAAGAACACCCAAAAAATATAAAAAATAAAAGAAAAAGATCCAATGTTAAAAAAAAGAAAATTCCAAGGCGAATTTTTTACGTTGCATGAAAAACTTATGGTTGATGAAACACATTTTTTTGTTTAATATAGAATGAAAATTGAAGAATTTCAAACATGTTTTTGACACTTAAAGATGAACTTCAAAAAAAATGGTACCACATTTAGGGAATCGATTTCCCCAGCTCAAAAACTTTTAGTATGTTTATATTAATTTTTTTTTACAACAGCCGTTTTAAAGAAAATCACTCTATCCTTTTCGATACTGCCAACAGCCCGCTTTTTTCTAACTGGTTGGTCGTTGAGCGTCCACACTAGACGGTCTGTGTGTCAACTGACAGTCACAGTCCGGTCAAATATTGTTAGAAATGATCTGCCCGTGACTTAACCGAGGCTTAATTGTTCGATGACCGGCATGTGTGAATGCTTTAAAAGAAATCTCATTTAAACGCAATAAAATTATGACAAATCATTTTTGATCGGACCGTGACTGGACCGCGACTTTATCGTGGCTTTGTAATAATTGGCATTATTATTGGAAAATATAAAGAATTTACTAAAAATTCTAAATAAAGTATTTATAATGTTTTAAATTCAAAAGAGAACACACGGATGGAAATAAAACAAATAATCATGTTATCACTCTAGTTAATGATTTACATTGAACTAGAAAATTCAAGGTGGAGCGTGACATTTTTAAAAATATAAGTATCACGTAAATTGGTATATATAGAGAGACGAGACAGAAAAAAAAGACTCTCGAGTGCGGACTAAGTTCCAGAAATTTCGCCGAGGGCGAGAGCTCTCGTTTATTGGGACTCTTACTTTATTTTATTTTAAAGTGTTTTGTTTGACAATAATTAAATGATTTATATATAAATGCCAATTTTTACATTTTCGTACCGATTATCATATTTATCTTATACATATTTTTATATTATTTTGTAGTTAAAGTTTTCCAGTGCCATTTATAATTATTAATAAGTCCAAACTGTATAGTTCAATTAAGTGTTCATCTAGTGTCATAACTCTTTATTTAAAGTTTGGATATATTATTACATAGGTGGCCGTTTATTCCCTAATTATAATTTGAGTAATTTATTCTTTAGAACACTAGTCACTTTTGTACTTATTTTAACTATACAGTTGTTAATTTTTTAATACTTATTATTAATCTCCTCCCCTTTTCCAAAACCAGTAAAATATTCCGAGCATTTGAGAAGCCTCGGCGTTTCTATTCCCTTAGGACTAAGAGAGTCTAAAACTAGTTGCCAAGAACCGCTCGACTATGCTATTGAGGGATATTGAGTCTTTGGCTGGTGACAGTGCTGCCCTAATCCCTTAATAGTATAGTAACAACCGTAGCTAAGGACCGATCAGTAGTTACAAATGGTCTTTGGGCTAGTCGGTTGTTATATTTGGTCGATTATGCTATCAAGGGAAATTTTTTTTGTTTTTTAATTTAATTTTTTTAATATTTTTATTTGCTACTGGTGAATGGATGTTCCTTCTGGACTCCAGGACCCTTTGGCTGGTGACAGTGCTACCCCAATCCCTTAATAGTATATTAATAACAGTAGCTAAAGACCTATGAGTAGTTACAAATGGTCTTTAGGCTAGTTGGTTGTTACATTTGGTGACGAGCGGTGGTTCTTTAAAAAGTTGGTTGTTACAACTTGATCTTAAGGTGAGTACACCACCCCCTTATAATTTTCGGACAAGCATATCTCAAAAAGTAATTTTTTTAAAGTTAAAATTTTGGCATAATAAATTAGGAAATAATATCTAGAATATGCTTATATTTTAAAATTTTAATTATTTTCAGTTTCCAAGAAAAAAAATCAAAGGGTTTTAAATTTTGAAATATCATAATAAAAATAAATGCATTCCTCAACAGCACTATTCTTAATATAATCCCCAAATTTAAGCTCTTAATCTCTTGTTAATGATTTTTTAAAATTCGCCGAAATTAGTGGCTGAAACGCCTCGTTAACACCCCCCCACTCCCTACATGTATTGTAAGATAATAAAAATATTTTAAACAATATTAACTTCTCATTTATTCAATAAAAGAAAATCGAAAAATTGAAAAATTGAAAAATCGAAAAATCGAAAAATCGAAAAATCGAAAAATCGAAAAATCGAAAAATCGAAAAATCGAAAAATCGAAAAATCGAAAAATCGAAAAATCGAAAAATCGAAAAATCGAAAAATCGAAAAATCGAAAAATCGAAAAATCGTAAAATCGAAAAATCGAAAAATCAAAAAATCGAAAAATCGAAAAATCGAAAAATCGAAAAATCGAAAAATCGAAAAATCGAAAAATCGAAAAATCGAAAAATCGAAAAATCGAAAAATCGAAAAATCGAAAAATCGAAAAATCGAAAAATCGAAAAATCGAAAAATCGAAAAATCGAAAAATCGAAAAATCGAAAAATCGAAAAATCGAAAAATCGAAAAATCGAAAAATCGAAAAATCGAAAAATCGAAAAATCCAAAAATCGAAAAATCGAAAAATCGAAAAATCGAAAAATCGAAAAATCGAAAAATCGAAAAATCGAAAAATCGAAAAATCGAAAAATCGAAAAATCGAAAAATCGAAAAATCGAAAAATCGAAAAATCGAAAAATCGAATAATCGAATAATCGAATAATCGAAAAATCGAAAAATCGAAAAATCGAAAAATCGAAAAATCGAAAAATCGAAAAATCGAAAAATCGAAAAATCGAAAAATCGAAAAATCGAAAAATCGAAAAATCGAAAAATCGAAAAATCGAAAAATCGAAAAATCGAAAAATCGAAAAATCGAAAAATCGAAAAATCGAAAAATCGAAAAATCGAAAAATCGAAAAATCGAAAAATCGAAAAATCGAAAAATCGAAAAATCGAAAAATCGAAAAATCGAAAAATTGAAAAATCGAAAAATCAACAAATCGACAAATCGAAAAAACCAAAAATCGAATAATCGAAAAATCGAAAAATCGAAAAATCGAAAAATCGAAAAATCGAAAAATCGAAAAATCGAAAAATCGAAAAATCGAAAAATCGAAAAATCGAAAAATCGAAAAATCGAAAAATCGAAAAATCAAAAAATCGAAAAATCAAAAAATAGAAAAATCGAATAATCGAAAAATCGAAAAACAATATTCAAAAAGTTCTCCATATGGTTTCAACTTAAGTAGACATACTGTATAACTCGGAACGGACAGACAATTGAGAGAAATTATAATAAAAACAAATGTTCTTCTTACTGATATCTTTCATTTGGTATATATCATACTCCTATTGGGAGGTGGGGCAAAACTGCCCATTCTCCTTTGACAAAATATGCAAAATTCTGATTTTTATGAAAATTGTTGAACTAAAAGTTGTTTGCGATATCGATCTCTATAATTTTTGTTTATACATGATTTTTTCTAAAATGGACCGTAATGAAAAAATTGTAGGAAATTTAAATTTTTCAGTATTTTCGTTTTCAATGAATATCTATAGAAAAATATTTCGAGGTAGATGTATGTGGACAATGTATATATTTAGTTTATCCTCTAAACATTTATAGAGATGCTGCAATAGGTTGTACAAAATAACCGGAAAAAGCCTCTAATAACTAGATAGGAAAGTCATGTGTTGGACACATCAGATTTTTTTATTAAATGATTGAAAATAATATAAAATATGCAATTGTTTTTAAAACATAACACAAAAAATGAAAATGAACTAAATATTTGGTGTTGATTTGAATATTTATGTTTGTCATGAACATAAAACGCTGTAGTAAAATGACATATGAGTTCAATAAATTTTTTATTGCACTAGTGCAATAAAGACCCAGTTTTTTCACTAAATATAGTTCAATATAGTTTTGTTTTTTGCATGAACGTAGAAAAAAATATTTTAAACAATATTATTCAACAAAAGAAAAAAATTTGTTTTCTTATCGGTCACCACGCTCAAAAAGTGTAACTTAAATTAATATTAAAGAAAAAACTTGAATTAATATCAAAGAAAAAAAAAATACTGCAAAAATAAAATAAATAAATATTTATAATTGCATAAGTTGATAAAAAATGCTATGCAATAGCTTTACCGCGGCAGTCCCCGAATGCTACACGTATTTTTTTCATGTTGGATATTTATTTCATTGCTAATTCATAGATGATTACGTTTATCCTCTAAATATTTACAATCGGTCTGTTTCAGTTTACACTTCGCGACAAGTCAAAGCTTGCAGTTTGGTCTCTAAAAGGATCCGAGACTAATGTTGGTGATTCGAATACGAATCCTTTAGGATTTTCTCGGCGAATCCGGATCACGGATCCTTTTTTGCTTAAGTACTCGAATGCCGCTTTCGGATCCTTAAAAAGGATTCAAATCCCAGGATACCAATCCTATGTGATTCGAATCCTCCTCAGCTCTGGTAGGTATTAATAAAACATAAACTATTAATATTACAGCTATTAATTTCGGTGGAAAAATCGAATATATAAGAAAACTTAATGAGGTCAACCTTTTTGTACAGCATGGCCATAAAAGAGAAAAAAATATATCGATACCTAAAGAAATGAAATTATTGAACAAAGCGAGATGTTAAACCTATATAATCATTTATGATGCAATTTAGAACGGTAAACAAGTATACTAACCGTTGGCATTACGGAAATGATCACACAAAAAAAAACAAATTATTACTCGATTTAAAAAAACGCACAATTTTATTAACATAAAATAATTTATTTAATAAAATTAATATTACATACGTATAAAAATTATAATTAACTAATCACAAGAACATGTACAAAAATTATAAATATAAAATATCTTCAACAAGTCAGCGATGATTTCAGAAACTAAAAAATAAAAATGTATATAAGAATTAAAATAAAATAGGATACGACAACTTACTTCTGCAAGATTCAGTTTTATACAGCCATTCTGCAGGGGATCTTTACTTTCAAAAACACCTGGAAAAAGGAAATGTTTAATTTATAGTCCAGTCTATAAAAAGGTTGGTGGAGGACATGTAAGAGGGGATCATTTCTAAAGCGATGGCTCGTTGGTTAAAAAAATTAATCTTTGCCACACGATAGTTAACAAAATTATCTAGCAGATTACTTCTATCAATTTTTTTCCTATTGTTCGGAAATTTTGTTAATTTTATGGCCTATTTACTTCAAACATATCCCTAAGGAAAACATTATCCCTTTTTCCATATCCTCTGCTTTCAGCTATTGAATGTCCATTAATTGGAGGGTAAATTTCTCGATAGATTTTAAAACATCTTTCAATTATATATCATCAATCTAAATTGGAATACTTACAAAATGAAACTGTGAGATGTAAAATGGCAGAAACGAAGTCTCCAAATCTTAAAGTTCCATCTTTTCTCATGTACCTCAATATGAGCGTGGCTAAGACATCACTGCTTAATTGAAAACCGACTTCTTGTAAAGCATCTCTCAGACGTTCTGCTTTCAAAATGCCCGTTTTCTCTTTTGTGTGATTCTTGAACGCCGTTTGCCAGAATTTTAAGCTACACATCAGATCTTTGAAGTCCGTGAATTTCAGTCGACCTGTCCCAGACATCTACAAAAGAAAGTTCGTCTTTATATTATGGTAGATGCCACTTGGAAGTAAAATCTAAAAGTTAGTCAAAAAACAATAGATATTGTAGGGCGTAGACAGAAGTTGAACGTACTACTACAAAAATACTAAATGTCGAAACCCGTCTGATGACTTCGAGAATTTCGCGGTAATATTTGTTCGATAAGCCACAGTGCCTAAAGGTAAGACATGTTCAGTCAGGGAAAAATAAATCATAACTAGGAGTGGGCAATTATCAAAATAAATAATCGATTGTGGATTATTTAAAACAATCGATTATTTTAGAGCAATCGATTATTTTCAATTAACGAATTATTTTTGATTATTCGATTATTTTCGAGTATTCGATGATTCAGTTAATCGAACAATCGATTATTTTCGATTAATCGATTATTTTTGACAATATAAATGGCAAGACGTTTATTTCCATAGAAAACGCGACTAAATTTTTGAAAAATTGTATAATGTGTTGCCGACATTAAGGGGCATCACTTTTTTAATCCAAAATGTATCTCGCTAAGGCTAAAAGATTGATGTTTTTCAATTGACTAAATTTATGTAAATAGACCAAATAAAGTCGTACTTACATAAAAATTTGATTGCAATTTGATTAAACTAAGAAATTTAAGTTTTCTTATCAAAACGCACGTGTATGTTATGAGATCTCATTACGTGCATGTTATTGTTAAATATCATACAAGGAATGTTGATAGTGCGATTTTTAACGTTTACTGACATGGGCGTAGAAAACAAATTACTGAAATTACTGAAAATTACTGAATGTATTATATTTACCTCGAACGTCAAAATAATCTGTCGACAAACTTCAATAGAGGCGCAACTCTTGATATAATCATTAGGCAAACAAGCGTCCAGCAATTCCTGCAACTCAAAAGCGTTTACGGTCCTGTGTTCGTCCGCCAGTTGCAGGAACACCGCTTCATACTGGCTAAAACTTTTTCCGTCAATCAAAGGGGGCGCTTTAACGATCGCAGACTTCAACAACTGCGGCGCGGTGTCCAGTAACTTCAATTTCAAAGGCTTGCTGGAATACACTCTGAGCGTGAAGCCAGACTCTTGACTAGGTTCGAACGTGGTGGGGATAATTAGGTAGCCTCCTTGTTCTAGTTGACATCTATGACTGATCTGTCTGCTGTTGGTGTATTGGGAGTTGAACAGCGATTTGTTTTTCTTGAAAAAATTCTTGTTGATGGTTTCGTTGGTGCTTTTTGATAACAGGTACGAAGTGAAGCCTATAACCTGAAATGTTATTGCATTAAGTCGGTTTGTTTAAATTGGTTTGCCTCAAATAAAGATGTTTGAATATGGGAAAGAATCTATTTACCTTAGGCTCCATAATACTATGTTGATTAAGCGACACTATTACTTCCTCCATCTCGTTTAGCAGCAGATGAAGCTGCGGATTGATGTGAAAAGTATCCGGGTTATTCCTGCAACCTCCGGCCGATACTCCCTTTTGCCAGACCCCTTGGTACAGTCTCATTTGCCAGGTGTTTCTGTTGTGCAAACTTGGCTCGTCTCTACTTGTATCGCTATCCAAATGTACTATTTCTAAGTGAGTGAATGCTTTTATGAATTGCGAAAATGGCATCCAGAATTCCCCTTCTTGTAGTTTACCTTCTATCCTGTCCAGTTCCTGAGGGCTTATCTGGAATATTATAAGAGAATTTTATTGTATTAGGACAGCAAAAAACCATGGTGAAGGAGTAAAGCGTAAAACCAAGCAAGAAAATTAATAGATAAACACAAAAAGAAGAAGAATTTAGGATTTTAAAAAGAATGATAAAGTGCGCATGAAGGGTTCCGCACCATCATACAATATTTAATACTATGTAGGTACTTTTTAATTACTTGATTAAGATCGAGCAAAAAACACGTTTCTAGTACGGGATCCCCTTTTAATTTTTATATTTATTTGTTTTTACAGCAGCAACATAAATTCACATTCTGTGAAAATTTCAACTGTCTACCTATTACGGAACATGAAATACAGCCCGCTGATAGACGGAAGGACAGCCGAGGCTTAGTAATAGAGGGTCCCGTTGGTTACCCTTCGGGTACGGAACCTTAAACATAATCACAATATGTTACGAAGCTCTACGAAACAAGAAAATTGATTACCGATCAAATGCTTACAATACGCATTTATAACTGTGATCGTAGTAAAATTAAAATAAGTCACTTACATCTGACCATTCTGGAGAATCCACGAACACCTGCGCAGCATACTCAGAGGGCGAGTGTCCCAACGGGTTCTTCAACTTTAGCAATTGTATACCATCTCCGTTGAAAGTCTCTGTCCTCTCTATGGTCTGTATCCTATAATTAATTCCGGTTTGTGCTCCATTGGACAGTTTTTCGTTGGACTGAGATCTGTTCTGATTATTGGGCTGTGGGGATTGAACTGTACACGTTACTATCGAGGTCATATCTAAGAGTTTGTACAAAAGTCGCGCGCATGACGTGGCGTCTTGACGTAAAGGGATACTTTCGGTGATTCCCCCCGTAAGGTCGGCCAGTCCGTCTAAAAGGGAGCCATATTTGAGAGCTTCGTAAGATCCATGCAACCTATAAAAAATTACAAGATTTTATTCCATTCGCAGGTAAGAGATTTGATCCCTATTCTTCTAACCTGGGTACCTATTCTTGAATCTCGGGGAGTAAAAATTTTGAGGGAAGAATGAGACAATAATACAAATTTTATACGTTGCAGATAAAGAGGACAAAATGGTTTTCTACTCCCTCGAATTCAAGAATAGCTACCCTGGCCTATTTATAATGAAATAATATTTCTACAATTACTTTATTGTCTATGCAAATATTCTTTTAGTTTCGGGCAGTCGTTAGATGCCAATTCTGGAGAACAGGGTGTATTTTCTACGAAATAAAATCCCGCTTGATGAACGGTAGTCACTGCAATACAAGAGGTATTACTGGAAGCACTGATTTTTCTTCTAACGCATCAGATAATTTAAAGTCTATTGTTCAATCATTAATTCAATGCCAATAACAATAACTTAAGAGAAATGGGATGTTTTTTAATTGTTTAATAAATTTTAAGTATAACTTAACTTTGAAATAAGTTATTAGGCAGAAAGGAATACGTATTATTGATTTATAATCTCTATTTTTTCAAATAGCAATAAAATTTTGAAATACTAGGAATTTGCGATTATGGATAACTGAAATTATGACATAAATCCGTATTCTGATGATGATAAATCTAAAGGCTGTTGCTAATTAGACCTGAACCGTAAATATTCCTCCTCTTTACTGGTGTTGGAAGCTTCATTTCGTTGTATACAAAATGAAATATGGATTGTTTACATCGCCTTTTATTACGACCCAGGCGGATCTATTTTGGCTCATACTTAAATTACAGTTCACCGTACGAACCACACCTTTTGATGGATGTCATAGTTGAGTTAAATGAGACTTGTTTAAAGTCGAGATACTCCAGTCGGTCAAATATCTGAAACCTAGGTGTTTCCAAGGCGCCTGATGTACTGTTATCGGTAGGTACTGTAAGAATTTAATTTACGTTATTCTTGAAATATACTACAATTAAAAATACATTTTTTATATGACTACAATTTTTTATTCATCATACGAAATTCACTCAATGGTGGTTAGTACAAACAACAAAGCTGAACGGTATGGAGTGGAATAGCATCAAAAATGTATTCACAAAGTAATGATATCGAAATCGTAGCGACAGCCATAATGAGAAAACCCTCATTTGTGTCTGTAAGAATGTGTTATTGAATCGAGAACGACACTATATTGTGAATCGATCCTAAACTGTATCAAACAAAATTGTCCTTCTTCTTTGAATTTAACATGAGAACATCGATTACGAAGATTGTTCCAAACAAATGTGGAATTATTGTGATAGGTATATCGTATTTGGATCAAACTAGTTAGGACTACTCAGTAACGGTGGAGATATCGTTCTTAGAGCAAATGAAAATATATTAAACAATTATTATCAGACCTATAGTATTACTCTCCGAAACACCACAGAAGTGAGTCTTGCTCTTTATTAATAAAATGGATTTTATATTTTTTGATTTCGATTTAGTAGACTGTATTATTTATTATTATAACTATATAACTTTTATTATATAATATTTTTTACAAAAAGACGACAAGACGACAAAGGTAAAATATAAACATAAAGATGCCATTTCGCTTAACACTCTTCTCGCTTCTTCATCTTGCATGATCCCAAAATTGCCTGCACATGTCAACCCTGCGTATAATGTCTTTACTACCAACAAGTTCCGCCAGTGGCGTACTAGAATATTTAACACTTACTTTGCATAAGCCTTTTCTAGCAAACCAGGCCAGAAATTTTCCGATGTCTGTGATTGAAGGAAAGCTAATTTCCCGTGGACAGTTGGTAATCTGTCGTCGACTAGAACTTCGGTCCATTCTCCGCACCACCATAATCTGAAGCGAAAAACGCCGCAATATTGATCACCTGAAAATGATTGATCTGCCGGCACCACTCTGTAGAATAGTCCTTTGTTCAGGTAAAGGATTCCCAGGCAGGATACCAGCCATCTGTCACCTGAATAGAATAAAAAATTATTAACCCTTTCAATACTCCGGGGATATATACGTCCCAAAGAAAGTTTGAAAAAATCGGTATAGAATTAGAAAGCTTTAAATTATATTGGGACGGGATTTACTAGTTGTTTATGGTTCAGACTATCCACTGCGCAGGTTGGTTGGCACATTCAATGTTTACATTGTCTTTATTCAAGTGTTATTGTTGCACGTGTCGCATCGTAGTGGCTATCGTCCGACTAATTACTTGTTTATTTGTTTTTTTGGGCAGTGTTTTAACTATTTTCAAGGATATAACACCCAGGTAAGTGGTTCTATTCTCTTTTTTATAATAAAAAGTTATTTTTCTGCATGTTTTTGCAGAAAAAAATTGCTTGGGATTTATATATCCCTGCAGTGCTGGGAGTTGGGATATATTTATCCCCGCAGTGCTGATTGTCCGCAGTGCTGATTTGTATCATTTGTTTCAGAATAAGTAGTAGGCGTCCGCTCTCTGAAAAGCAACTATCAGGTATTGCTGAAAGGATTTTTGTGGATGAATCAGATAGTGAAGAAGATCCTTTTCACGACAGTGACGATAGTGACGATGAGGATTATAGAGATGGTTCTGAAAATTCATCAGATTATTCACATGATGTTCTGAGGAAAGTGAAACTGATTCTGAACAAAATAATATGGAATCTGAAAGAATTGAACAAAATAATATGGAATCTGAAACAACTGAACAAAATACTATGGAATCTGAAATAACTGAAGGGACCAATAATCAAGAGAAGGAAGATACTACTAAAATTCCTTCTTCATCTGCAGGCAAGTATATTTGGAACAAGAATCTTCTTACTTTTTCACCCAAACGAAACATTCCGATAGAAGAAAACCCGTTGATTATTGCTAATCTAAATAGAGGGTCAACTATGCTTGAATGTTTTTACCAGTTGTTCCCAAAAAGTCTAATCACGCAGATTAGTTATTATACTAATTTGCGTCTTGATATATTGGAAAAAACGAAGAAAAAGCCAATCAAAAAAACCTCAGCAGGAGTTATTAAAATAATTTTAGGGTGTTCACTAATCATGTCGTATAATCGTGTACCAGCTGTTCACATGTACTGGTCTAGAAATAAGTCGCTGGAAAATCCAGCCATAATAGAGGCCATTTCTAGAGACAGATTTATGCTGTTATTATCAAAACTATACTTAAACTATCCGGAGAAACCAGAAAATGCATCAAAAATTTACTATATGGAAGAAGGTCTATCCTGCTTGAAGCACACCTTTATAAAAACTAGAACAGACTCCACATTTCAGGCAATAGATGAATCTATTCTATTCTATTCAAGGGGAGGTCCTCACTAAAACAATATCTTCCATTGAAGCCGATCAAAAGAGGTATAAAATTGTGGACAAGGTGTGACTCGAAAACTGGTTATGTTTATGACACAAATATCTATTGCGGAAAAGATAATGAAGTCTCTGAAGGAACTCTAGGTGAGCGAGTTGTGCTAAAGTTGGCGGAAACTATAAGAAATCCTAATGTGGCAATATGCTTTGATCGCTTTTTCTGTTCGACAATACTCTTAGATTCAATCGGATATTCTGCAGTGGGAACCTATATATCCAGTCGAAAAAATACTCCCAAATTAGAATCTAAACTGGTTGAGAGAGGAGCCTGTGAAATGGCTGGGTGTAAAGAAGGTATACTAGCAATAAAATGGAAGGATACTAAGGACGTGTTGGTAATGAGTAACTGTCACATGCCTATAATCGAAAAAACAAAACGAAAAATGAAAGATGGCACTTTAAAAGAATTGGAATACCCAGAGGCCATTATTGTTTATAATAAACATATGGGCGGCGTAGATCACGCTGATCAGATGTCTACATTATACGAATTAGACCGAAGAAGTACTAAATGGTGGAAGAAAGTATTTTTCCGATTGCTAATGGTTGCCCTATGTAATGCACATTGTCTATCAAGAGCTAACTAAAAAAAAGATTCCATTTATTGACTTCGTGGTAAATGTGGCTGAAGGCCTTATTAGTGAAGGAAGGTCTCAAACAGATAACAAACGATCGAGAAGACAGGGTAGAACATCAAAGAGGGTAAAACATTGCGAAAACATTGGTGATCATCTTCCTATTCATAAAGGTGGTCGAAATAGGTGTATTCGTTGTAAGTCCAGAAAAATTGAAAAAAGAACCAAAATAATAGGCAAGAAATGTCAAGTACCTTTATGTGTTAATAGTTTCACTCCATACCATACATAGATTTATGAAATAAATTTGTAGAAATAAATATTTCCTGGATAAGTTTATTTTTTATTTTACCGCGTCAACACTGCGGGGATATATATATCCCACGTTTCTATACTGCAGGGATATATACGTCCCAATTTTTTTTTCTAAAAAACGGATTGAAGAAAAAATTTCAAATTGATTGAGCATTCTATTTATTGCTATAGTAACTGGTTTTCATCATAAAAATACCTAAAACACAAATAGCCAAAAGTCGTATTGAAAGGGTAAATTATAATTTCAATATTAAAAACCTAAAAAAAAAATCATTCATACCTTTTAAGGGTACAAAAAATGTTTGTGATGATAGTAACCAGTTTTTGCATAACGAGGTCACCCATCAGATTAGGAGAGACTAAAGACTAAAGTTTTTTATTAAATAGGTAATTTTGAGGAACCCCTTGAAATCCGACAACCGGGGGTTGATAATTAATTTAAATAATTTTTATATATTACATATTATATTCAAATTTTTATTTAGAATTCAAACATCCCAGTGTGTCCCGCCTCGTAGGCGCCGTTTAATTACTTCTGGGAAAAGAAGACGTGGAGACTGTAACGGCCGCTAGCTAAAAAACCACATTTACACCGATAGGGTTATATTCAGGAATTAATACAGGGCTTTATAGTCTTTATACACCGAAGTCACAGTCGTTCTCTGTCTGATACATTTGCATATATGGGAAATTTAAGTATAAATACGGGGGTTTTTAAGAGCTGGGGATTAGCTTTTTTATCTTCGCCGAGTCAAGTTAACAAAAAACGCAAATATCCACGTTACCGCCACGGTGACTTCTTTTTCTTTATATTCTTCAAATATAATTAAAGCGGTGACCGCGCTTTTATTATATTTTGACAACGGAAATAAAAGATATTGACGGAGTAAAGAAATTAGTTTCTATAAACGACGGCCTCTGCATAGATATCCAGTTGTCCTTAGGATGACCACCTTTTTTTATATTTTATATATAAGTAAAAGGAGATATATAGTCAGGTTGACCAAGCAGATACACGTTGAATAGAACCAGATTTCGCTCCTAGAACTGTTTTTAAGGCTGTATCTACCGAGCGACTAAAATATTGGCGTAACTGATAATGGTAATACCACGCTAGTCTAGTTAAACGCCAGATCTCCGACTCAACATTATAAAATGTTACTAAATGATTAAAAGTACTACTCTAGGCGACGTTCGTAGTGGATTTCGTCACCCTTCAGGCTGACGCGACGAACTTGCGCCCGGTAGACCTTTTATCAGCAGTATACTTTTTTTTTTCTGTAAGGTTTTTTTTTTCGTAGAATTAAAACTATAATCGCACTATTAAAGTAATCAAACTAGTATTTAATATTCAGATATTCCGGGGGAGAGTTTAGACTAACATTAATGGGTTACAGGTATCACTTATTTCTTTTATATTCATTAGCGGGAAAATTCGCGTCTGTGTGTTGTCATATTTTTGGTATTCATTGATAAACGTTTATTGCGGGAAAAATTATAGGGTTTTTATATTGTGCTAAATTATATTATTTAGAGAATCGATAGTGATGTTGTCATAAATATTAATTGTTGGTCAACACTCTCAAGTAATAAATTAAGTCATTTAGATTTATGGCCAAAGGGCCGAATTGTAAAGTTTTGGGTTGTCTGTAAACAGTACCTACTCCTTTCAGGAGAGAGGAAACGCACTTTCGGTTTTATTTTTAAATGGCAAACAGATGTAGATTAGTAGGGTAAATGCCTTGATTTGTATATATTTTAAAGTTAGTTTGCGGTTAAAAAAATATGTTTACTGTCGTTCATTATAAAACAAAATTGGTTTTGTGTATCGATTTTTCGGGAAAAAGGAGATATGTACAGCGGCGGGTAGAATCATGAATATTGAGGGGTGTCGGATTTATTTGTACATATCCACATATCTTTAGCGGGACATTACGCGGAAGTAGCCGGTATGTTATTTATTTAGAATAAATAGGTGAAATTGTGTTTGTGGACTAGCTAACGCATCCTCAGAACTGTGATTAATAACACTGATTTGTCAATCGACAGAGCAAACGAGCATCGCGCCGAAAAAGAAGCCTTAGGCCACCATAGACTGCAAGGGACCTCAATAGTAAGGGCCTAAAAATGGTATTTCTCTTGCGGCTATGTAAATTAAAGCCTGATAGAGGCTTGGATGGATCTCTACTGAGATACCCCAAAAGCGGGCCTGACGGGCATCCCCCTTTATATCAGGTGTTCTCCGATCGACCGTTCAGTGTTTTCTATACAGGACTGAGTATGTCAGTACATTACGGCATTGGAATATTAGGGAAAGGCGTGACGCACGGTGAGGTAAATCTACACTCCGGGTTTTACACATATTAGAAATATTATTTTAACCGATTTCAAAAAAGAAGGAGGTTCTCAATTCGACGCAATATTTTATATTTCACCGAACCCCCCGTGCTACCGCTGTACTCCCTTTTATTAGACAATGCGTAATTCAGTAGTTCCGTGGAAACGTGTGATTGTATATTAGGAGACAAACAAATATACCAAAATACTTCCGTCTTTTATTTTACCCTTTTATGGGAACTAAAAGCTCTGAGGTTGGAAATGACACATTGGAAAGCCTACATAAACATAATGTTAAGCCTAAAAACGGCACATAATCTAAATGTTCGGCTGTACAAAAGAATATATGTTAAATAAACAGTATTCAAAATTAATCTCGGTGTTTCCTTTGTTCTTCCTCCATTACAGCTACATTGAACTCTAAACGTAATTCTGGGGGGTTTTAACATCACTTCGTGGGGATCCACTAGACGAAATTTAGGCAAAGGTTAAGGGTATTTGGAACACTAGGTTAGGGCCCGGTTTGTCAAGTTAAACCCTTTGTAAAAATTTACGGTTTTTAAATTGATTTACTTTCCAATATAAAGATATTATTGAGCCACACCCTGTGCGGGCACATAATATTAAATAGCTAACGTTTGAATTGTAATTTCTCAAAAAAAAAAAAAATGAAAAATCTATTTATCTGTGCACCTTTCTATTCATAATCTTTGTATTCTACTTTCGTAACCATATAAATCCATTAGTAATTTTTTATTGTTAATTGTAAACATTTCTGCAAAAAGCAAGGTCGTTATGCATAGCAAGGTTAATAATCATTCCATGTTTGATTATATAATTTTTTAAAACAATTATGTATACTTAGATACTTATATAAAGTCGTGATCTGTCTAAATATAACTTGTTAACACTGACAAGATAAATAATTAATTGAAGACACGAGTCGTGTTTTGTTATGGCAAATTTTAATCTTATTTTTTTACGTACCCATTTTTCCAGGACTAATATCGAAGTTTGCAGGTACATCTTGTATGAAGCTGGGTCTGTTGCACAATTCCTGAAATAATTAATTAATAAGTGTTTAATAAAAAAAAAATATTTTTAAATACACTCGTTTTGCAAACTAATGTTAAATTAACCTAAAATTATTTACTGTTTTAACAAATTACAATAGTTTTTTTTTAATTTAACTTTTTTCAATATATATTTTCTTTATATACAAATATTTATATTTTTTTCTACGTCTTGATTCATTAAAAGCGAATCTGAGTTAGTAGGCGAAGCAGAAATGTCACATTTCGGGAAAATTTTGTGGTACGCCACTGATTTTTAAAAATAATTTACTGCAAATTAATTTGTTGTTTCGTTCTTTTAAAAACACACTCTTATTTTTTTTACTCTTCCTCTTTTAACTACAAATCGTCATTTTGTTTCACATTTTTTGAAGAAAACGGCGAACAATACTAAACTAATCTTTTCATTATAAATAAGCATTTGTTTACTTGCAAATATTCAATTCGTGTTTCATGTTAGTCAGATAGAGCGAGACCCCCACTAAATTGAGTGGAGATATTGTGTGGGAGAACCCGTTTTATGAATTGCATTACACTATTGTCACACTGCAAAATAAATTACGTACTGGATCTCACCCTCAATTAGAAAAAGACATTAAATCGATAACTGGTATTAAGAATGCAAATATACTTCCTTAGTGTAATTTTGAAATACTTTTGTGCTTTTTAGAGCAATTTTTTCAGTAAATTCCGAATTATAAGTAAAAAACAAGACTATTCCATAATAATAACAATGTAAATGCTTACCATTCGCCTTTGGTAAATAAAATGTACCTATTTGATAGTTTTTCGTCGTTGGATTTAACGTAAAATATGCTTGGTTACTGAGATACAGTTTATTGAAAATAAAATGATATACTCGTATACCGTGAGGACGTACAGGTTGGAATCAATTTGATGTTTTTCTGTCAACAATATTTTAACAAAATTATTTTACTGGTCAATTTTTACTTTTAACTATGCGTGTACTTCGGCTTATTTCTAACTACCTAGTAAGTACGCTACTCCCAATTATGAGAAATTTAGTCGAATCTCCCTAGTATTTTAACTTATTCAAAGCTTCTGACCAAGTCTGAAATATATATTCGGGTGATGATTTTGTTGTTAAAATTTTTTCGTCATAAAACCGTTTGGACTGACCACACCATCTCTATCGCATTGTACTGATAGTGATCTGATATGGAGGAGTTCTTTATATTTTACGCCCATATTCCTCAACATATCGATCTACAATAGGTAGAATTCTTTTCGTGGTAGATTTTGACCGTTCTGGATGAAGATAATATGTAGCGCGGTGAATCTTTATCGACGATAAAAGAGTTTATTTGTTTTCGGAACGATACGCGAAAAAGATTATACTGCATTATCAATAAAGAGTTGTCTATTATACTTATTTAGTAAATTGTTTATGGTTTGTGAATTACTTATTCATTATACTAAGTTATATTTAAAAGTGTGTTTAATTTATTACCGGTCCAGGTACCACAACCCCCAACGTACAACTTCCCAACTGATATTTCATACCACTGATTGGATAATTAATATTCTTTTCCTGCAACTATTTTTACAATTTTATCTTTTGTCCAACTATAACATAGAATTGGTTCCACGTACCGCGAATGAAAACTGGCATTATCGATTATAATCAAAGAAGGATGTTTCATACTACAGTCAAATGCCACAATTGTAGAGAGTGACTTACATTTTTAATATAGACCTTTGCGGCTCTGAGGGAATAGGACATCGACGAGTCATAGGCGTGCGGTTATTAAAAATGATCTTCCGCATTTTAGAACTAATTGGTTGTCACAAAAATTGTTTTCCTATTTTAAAGATTAGGAAAACCGGCAATAATAATTATCGAATAAGTATATATAAATTCAAATGTATATGTCTCAGTGAAGTTGGCTTAATTACCAAAACCATGTTTTTTAAAGAAGGCAGAAGTCAGAGAAGGACTTAAAAGACTAGAGCAGGACCGGACTGGTCGAAAATATCTTGGACTACAGCAACATTAAATATACGAGTTCAGAGAATCATTTGAAGTTATCGGCCTAACTCCAGAGGAGAGCCGTTCATTACATAATAACTAAGATGAGTCTAAAGTCCCCAATTACCAAAGCCGCAAAGTAACAATTAAGAGGATGGCCAAACGACTGGTCTCTTTCTCTGAATATGCTTATTTCTTAGAGAAAAACGATCTGAGGTTAATAATGGTTTCAATGTAACAAAAAAAATACAAGGCACGTGTTAGATGTATTATTGTAATTAGTTAAATAGGCTTATTTTAACACTGTGTATATTTGTATGTTTATTTTAACATTGTTAGAAGTGTTATTGTGATTAGTTAAGTGTGTTTATTTTATCATTATATATTTTTGTTTATTTTAACATTATGTATGAATGATTTTATTTGTGTTGAAAGCTTATACGCTTTGCACTGTTAAGTCGTTGTAAGCTTGTACGCTCTGCGTCTGTCTTGTTTGTGTTGAAAGCGTGTACGCTCTGCACTGTTGAATCGTTGAAAGCTTTTACGCTTTGTGTTTGTTTTATTTGTGTTGAAAGTTTGTACGCTTTGCACTGTTGAAACGTTGAAAGCTTGTACGCTTTGCGTTTCTTATATTTATGTTGAAAGCTTGTACGCTTTGCACTGCTGAAACGTTAAAAGCTTGTACGCTTTGCGTTTGTTTTATTTGTGTTGAAAGCTTGTATGCTGTGCACTGTTGAAACGTTGAAAGCTTGTCAGCTTTGTAAAGGTTATATAGTGGGCCTTCAAAGCTTGTAGCAGTGAGTTGTAGGTATAAAGGGCAAAGTTAACATGAGTTTCAAAATTCAACAATTTGAACCAGACAAAATTAAATGACAAAATCGAAATACGTACGAAATATGTAAATTAGAAATATGTAACAATCCATTGGTTGTCAGTTTTACTTTCTATCTTTGCGAATAAATATCAAAGAAACATGATTCGAAAAGGAAATCGGCATTATTAGCAAGTTACCCGTTCAAGGCTTCATTCGTTCTTTTCGATATATATTACGTGGGATTTTATTAATATTAACTATTCCATTTGAAATACGTAAAAAATGCTTTATTATTCATATATGCGAGATCTGAAACAGGTTGGGAGTTACCTTGACAATAATGCGTGTTGACATTTTTATGAAATCACCTGCAAAAATGCATTTAATAGGTACATACTTATCATCTATTTAGTATAACGCAATTATATGACTTATAATTTTGTTTACATGGTATTTTTAGTAAGTATGAATATCTTGTTTTTTATAAAATTTTAAAAGTGATAGATTTTTGTAACTTACCCTTGGCCTCTTCCAAGTAAACTGAAATGGCGGTGTTTGATGATAAAATACCGAGGATTGCGTAGCTGAAAAATCAGGGTCTTCCCAAAGTTCTCCACGTTTTAAACAGGCTCTTCTTATACGTTCGTATTCACTCATACCCTGAAAAATAAATAACGAATTTTAAATAATTATTATTAATCCACAAATTGTAAGTCGCCGAAGAGCACCACGGCCAATAATCATTATAGAGCTGGTATTATTAAAATAAAAAACAATTTTAAAAAGGCGTTACATCTTTTATAAACCCATCTCAAATATCAAATTTCATTGAATATGTACAAAAACAATCTTATAAAAGACACCAAGGAAACCCAAATACTTTCTTTAATACGAACTTCCTATAGTTTGTATTAAAAACCTTATTAAAACAAAATCAAACCAACTCTTTACAGGTAAATTAAAAAAAAAGGACCTTAGCTTAAAACAACAGGTATTAGCCAAAGTAGTAGTTGTTTTCTGAAGGTAAATGGTCGCTCGTATTTTGTGTGACATATATGGCTTCCTGTTTTATTTTATTTTTGTCTTGGTCACATTTGAGTAGGAATTATTTTCAATTTTTAAAATTGTCAGCCTGGCTTTTTGATTCCACCCAGTTTGCTAACTGAGTACTACAATCGACCTTTTTATTGGAAAAAGTAAGTTTTGTGAAGACTGACTTTGTTACGGTATCTACAAAAATTCAATAAAGTATTCAGTGCGATACCACTCGAATTGTATAGTATTCTACGAATCACCAAAGAAAATCTACAACGTCTTAAAAAGTAATTTAGAGGTTATTAACATAAAATTACTATTTTTAAAATAATTAACACAAGGATTTGAATTTCTGGATGGTACCAAATTATAAAACAAACTTAAAAAAAAAACGAATTTGCTTGAATTCAACCCGAATTTGAACCTCGGACCTTTTGTATGAAAACTTATCCCTTAAACTTTCGCGATAATTTATCATTTATTTCTCTTTAACATTTACACTTAAATAATTGGTTTGGTCATTTTGTTATAATTTTACCAAAATTTTCGGTTTCTTCAACTATTAACGATGAATATCTAATGGATTGTTATTATTTTTCGATTAGTTATAAGAATCACTCATTTTTAATTATATTTTATCCTAATAAAAAGAATAAGATAATTAGTTTGACAAAATTGTCACTTATTTAAAACAACTAAAAAAAAACCAGTAATTTGTGTAACAAGAACCTATATGAAGACAAAGTTTGAGCACAACGCTGTAGGAACTCAATCGTGTAGTACATTTTTTCTACGACCCAGAAACGAAAACCTACAAAGTTTTAAAATAAATTTAAAAGTTAAGATAAAATAAATATTTTAATTATTCCTCGTCCTGGATTTGAACCCCGGACCTTTCGCATGAAAACTCACTACTATATCTTTGCAATAACGAGACAAAAAACTTTTTTTTTAATACTGATAATTAGATTGGTTTAGTGTCAATAAAATTTACGTATTATTTGTAAATATAGACGAATATCTTGTGGAATGGTGTTATTATTTTATTATCAATTCTTCACAAAAACACATTTTAAATTATATTTATTCTCAATAACTAAAAAATATAGTGACAATTAGTTTGGCAGAATTGTCACTTATTTAAAATTTAAAAAAATAATAGTAGTCCGATCTTTCTAAAATGAATATTAAATTTAATTTTCATTCAGTAGAATGTAATGGCCTACTTTAGGTTCTGTAGTCTGTGCTTATATGTATAATATCCGTGTGGGTGTAGAATATTATTTAGTTGGCGGGCTACTAAACGTTTGGTGGATTTAATAATAATAACACTCCCCATAATTCACCCCCTTACGAGTGAATTTTAACCCCAAAAGCTGTGCTTGTCCGGGGAAGGGACGGATATTATTATTATTTGCCGTGACACTCCGGGGTGACTTAAAGATAATTGATGGTGCCATTTGACTTACACCATCTTCGCAACGATACCGCATAGCGTTTTTTATAATCTGGATATCATGTCAACAGAAATGTTTGCTAATACGATATCCATCAAATCCTATAGAGAACCATGCAAATAAATTCCCATGGTCTTCTGTATGATTCAAAGTTGTCTCTGAACCACGAAATTGCTCGCAAATGAATGCGAGCGCGTTAGACACTTACGCCATTGATCTGATACACATTATAGAATAGATATACCGTTTCATTCGTTCAATAGACTGATATGTAGTTACATATTCATTCTGTAGATCCTGTAAAAGTATGACCAAAAGTATAAATACATTTTTTCTACACCCACATGGGTATAAGCTTATCTACGCTAAGACTACAAAACGAAAAAGTATGCCATTGCATTCAACTTAACGAATATATTTCATATCCATTTCACCTAGTAGGTACACTCTAAAAAAATTAAATCCACCAATCACAGTTCATATTTTGGCCACTCGGTTACTATTATTTTTTTTTATTTTTTATGAGTGACAATTCTGCCAAACTAATTGTCAGTATATTTTTTAGTTATTAAGATTAAATGTTATTTTTGTGTAGAATCGATAAATAATAGCATTTCTTTTGAATTTGTCTACATTTACAAATAAATCTTAAATTTTAATCGAACTACCTATATAAAACTAATTTAAATAAGAGTATTAAAACTAGAATCGTAAATGTGGCGATGGAGGTGAGGACAAGGCGTTTGTCTTCCACGCGAGAGTTTTGGGTTCAAGTCTCAGCTGGGGAATAATTAAATTAAATCTTTTTTTTTCATGTTTATTTTATTTTATAAATGTCAATATTTTAGAATATGGGCATTAGCAATATTATTTTCCGTTGTTTATTATTTTTGTAGTTTATTTTTACTTAGTTTCAACAGTTCCTTAATGTATTAGTGATAATACTTATTAAGATAATATTGTAGAAAACAAGAATGGCAACTTATGTTTTAGACTGGTATTTTGTTTTCATTCCATATTTCTTTGATCTCATTTTTGTCATGTTTGATTTTTTTATTATTTTTGTTTGTTTTGTTTAGCTGTTTCTGACCATTATAATAATTATGGTTTACTAATATTGTGACGTTATAAATATAATACTTTTGATTTTTTTTTTAAATAATATACAAATTCAATAATCTAAGATGTATAAATTATTAATATATAGGGAGGCGATTACAAATAGCACCGGGCGCAAAAGTACCTTAAACCGTCACTGACTATTATTTTTAAAATTTTAAATTCTGACAAATAAATTGTCAGTATATTTTTTAGTTATTGAGATTAAATATACATTAAAAAGAATTATTTTGTTTAGAATCGATAAAAAATAGCATTTTATTTGAGACACATTTTGAAAAAAACATTTTTTTATCAAATTATATGAAACTAATTTAATTACGAGTATTAAAACTAAAAACCTGAAAGTGGAAGTGAAGCTGAGGACAGAGCATCTGCCTTCCATGCGAATAGACCGGGTTAGAATTTATTTTATTTTATAAATTAAAATTCATAAATTATTTTAAAATTAGTTATTTTGTCTTAAAAACCTAAAATAGTTTTTTAAATTTGTAGATTTTCGTTAGTGGGTCGTAGAAAAAATATACCGTACAACTCGAGTGGATTGTCCATATCAACTCTTGTTGTACAAATCACTAAACTCGTTCTACTTTGGCTTTCGCATAGTAATTATACCGTCTCGCAAACAAATGCATCTAGCGATTGTGGTTTGTGGATAAGGCTTTTCAAAACAGAAGTTGTGTGTTTGATGTTACCGCTACGATTCCGCTAGTCGGTAAATGCCAGCGAACCCTCGTTGGTATTCGCTAAACTGTCTATGCCGCGCCAACGAAACCCCTTTGTTGGCATTCGTTGACACGGTCTTTACGCAACTTAATACCGATTTAGGCTTTTAAAACGAAAGAACTTTTTGATTTATAAAGTTGTGACATGCGATGTATTCTATCTACAATACGTAAAATCATGAATAAAGGATTTAATTTGAATATTTTGTGTTGAACACAATTAAAATATTATTTAAAAAGTACTCATACATTTTTCATAAAGCGACATTGTTGGCGACTACTATTTCGAGTAAAAATAGCGTCCAAGATTGAAGAAAGACTATGTTGCAACACCCCTAGATATAAAAGCCCTGCTCACTAGCAGCTATTGTTTGACAGGTCGTAAGTAAATTCTTTTAAAGCCATTTATGCAGTGTCAGGGCCGCCGAGAGCCGGGTCGGGCCCCGGGACAATCCTCTACATCGGGCCCTGAAACTTATCGTTTGTCTTAAAAAAAAAAAATCACATCACCATGCGGAAACAGAAAACCCTACTGTCGGCCCCCCCGCCCCCCTTACGCTGCCGGGCCCCCATTTGAGCCCGGGCCCCGGGAATTAGTCCCGGCTACCCCCCCCTCTAGTCGGGCCTGTGCAGTGTGTTATGTATTTCACAAAATTATGACGTCAGTAGTATTTTTTTAAATGGAACAATTGATATTTTATATTACAAAAATTGGTTCCTTTAAATGCAAATCCTAATTAATAATAATTTTAATTTTTCTCTAACAGTTTTTAAGAAAATTTTACCAAATAACTTTACAGCTTCATTTATGCCATTTAAGCCATTTATGCAGTGACTATGACGTCATTAATATTTGTTTAAATGGATCAAATGATATTTTATATTTAAAAAAGTTAGTCGCTTTAAATAAAAATCCTAATCATAATTAATAATTAATAATAATTAATAATTTTTTTCGAACAATTAAGAAAATTATACCAAATGACTTTACAGCTTCATAAAATAAAACAAGAATTACTAAAATAAGATGTAGTCACAAATACATAGAGTGCAAAGTGATTTGTCAATGTTACCATTATTTTAATTACAGATACTCTTGAATAGGTACAGATTTCATCTTCCGTTTGGCTTTAAATGATCAAAACAATATTCCGAATAGAATGTTTGAAATCCTTGATGGGAACATGTCGACTGTCTGGTACTTATAAACGAATGCCTAAACTAAAATCATCGGTAAAGAAGGTAGACAATGGTATTACCGCGTATATTATTTAAAATTTCGACTTGTATTTTATTTCTCAATTTTCTTCGTCATTACATCAAT